AGTGCAGCAGATGCATGCAACTATGCCAACACACGTTTGTTGTCACAGCTAACATCATTTGTGGAGATGGTACAGCTACACCAACAGAACTCCTCCTGTTGACATACACTGCGTCTTCATTAAAGTGGCTCAGCTGGTGTAACCGTGTCAGCACAGTCTCTGTAACACACATATGTTCTCTGAAGAAGCTTTTTTGTGCTTCCTTGCTAGTACACATGATGTGGTATTGCAAGCTGAGTTACTTTGAACCTGGGATTTTATTTTAAGAAGAAAATAAAATGCCAAAAAATGTTGATAAGTCTGATGAGTCTATAAATGGACAGAGAACTTTCCAGAATTCAAACTGCAGCTAATCTTTACACAAAAAAAGAGAAATACAGGTTAGCGCATTAATGTATGCAGTGCAGAATAAAGCTGAAATTATTTATTATACCTTACTTTTCCCAAGGAAGGAAATAAAGAATAACTATGGTATTAAAAAGATTAACAAGTGTGTAATTCCAAAGAGGAAGAATACAAGAACGGGTGTGGTTTTTAACCAAAAAGGGCCCAGAGAAAGGGTAGAAGCATTTATAAGGTTGATCATTGTTAACTTAGGTATTAGAATGAAGAAAAACCCATACGTCTGTCCAGTACTGGGAATTTTAAATGGGACTCACAAAAGAATCATAGTCTGAAATAACTCTGAAAGAGGAGAGATATCAGACCCAACACAGGAATCTAGTAAAAATACATCAGACTGAAGGAGTAGTGGAAGCATACTGCCAACAAAAAGACATGTCAAAATGGAAAGAGAAAAGCAACATGACATTGCATAAAATATCACTAAATTCCCTGAGCAGAAACACAGCAAGTATGGTAAGTGAATATAAAAGAGAATCAATCTCTTACATTTCCAGCCAGTAAAAACATGCTGGAAATGTAAGTAGTTTAAAAAAAAGGGGGTGGTAAGAGGGCAGGTTGGGAGCATGACTGTGAAAGCAAAGAAATCAGAGAAATAATCCAAGCTACAGTGTCTCATGGGAGTTGCAGTTCCAATCCTTGCGCCTCCACTCTTCTCTGAGGCCTACTTTCTGGCTTGACTATATTTCCCATGATATACTGCTATCTCCCTCCTGTGGCTGAGCTTCTAGGGTTGCCAGATGGTTTCAACAAAAATACCAGAAACACTTGACATTACACCACAATCTACATTACATCTTATTTAGAAAATACCGGACATTTCTATTTTCTCATTTATATTTTCTCAATTTGTTTCCCGAACAGAAAGCTCAAATACTGGACTGTCCAGTTCAAAACTGGACACGTGGAAACCCTATGAGCTTCATAGAAGTTCAGAGAGGCTCAATGAACCAATAAGGGAAGAAAAGTCTATTCTTTCACTGTGAAAGACATGGGACTAAATCCTGGCCCATTCTATGGCCTTTCTGTACCTCTGGCAGTACAAGGGGCCAGGCAGCTGGATAGCTGAATATTCCTAGCACAGAGAAATCCCCAGCTGAAATACAGCTTGTGGTGTGACTCCTTTTCTACCCTCCCTTACTGCTCAAATACTCTGTAGGGATATGTCAGGGAAAGAATGTGACTGAAGTCACATTGGTGCACAGATCACAATGGTGCACAGATCCTTTTGGCTGCTCTTATACAGGTGCTAAACTGACCCCTACCAGTCCGAGAACCAAGAAACTGTAAAGGGATTTGAGAGCCACCTCTGAAGTCCATTGTGGGTGCTGTGCTAGACACAGGCCCACAGATGGGGAGTGGGGGGCGCAAAGAGGGCAATTGCGGAGAGCCTGGAGATTCTAAAGGGCCTAGAGCTCCTGACCACTACCACTGCTACTGCAGCAGCAGCGGCTATGAATCACCGTCAGAGCACCGCATGGCCATGCGCACCAGCTGGCTCTAAGGGCCAGCAGGGGTGGGGGTTCACACTGTCCACCCACCCCTTCTGCCAGAGGCCCTGCCCCTTCCTGGAACACAGAGCTCCCCCCCACACACATTGCCCAGAAGCCCAGCGATCCCATCTGCTCCCCTAACAGTTAGCTCCGTCTTTAAATCAAGATTTTAGAAGATATGTGGTAGTTCAATTGGAAGTTACGGACCCAATGGTGGGTTAAAATCTGGGGACTGGAATTATGCAGGTGGGCAGATTGGAAGATCATGGTTCTCCTTTCTGGCCTTAAAATCTATCAGTCTATGATAGAGGCCATAATACTACAATTTAATGGATGCAACAATATTCCTCTCGCTAGATGCAGCTAGCAAGTTTCACTCCCCCTTGCCAATGCCAAGCCAACAACTTCCATAATGACATTCAGATGATATTTCTTTCATCGCCTCCCATTGGTCTTTACAAGTGCCCTAGAAATCTTCCACAGAAAACTGCATGAGGCTCTGCAGATTCTGTCAGGACTCCAGGACATTTATTTGTATGACATTTTAGTCAAAGGAAGCACATAATGTAAGCTTACAAACGTGCAGAAGGCTGCTGGACTAAAATAGAGAAACAAATATTATGGCAACTTTTTTTGAGCATTTGCTTTGTGACAACAAAGGGCATATGACCAATGAAGAGGGTGGATTCAGAAGAACCAAAGGTACAGTTGAAATGCCATCATGTAAAAGTGTAAACTGATGCATTTCTCAAGCTTATAAAATATTGAAGTAAATTCTTAACATACTTGCCCTATAAAGTCCACACTTTTTACAAACTTATTAAGACAGACAATGTAGATTAAGCTCAGGAGAACATTAATACACCAGTTGACACCAATACAGTCATTTTATGAACTTCCCAATTTTTCAGAGTTCTGAGAGGATGCCATTCACCTATGGTCTTGATGCTATTCCCTCTAAATGGAGATGATGATTGGAAGTCTGTAGTGTTTTGTTGCAGAGAAAAAAGGATGCTTGGCCACCATAACATTCCCAAGATATTGTACGATTTTCATAATTTCTAGCTTGCAACAAACTCCCAGGCATCTGTGCTGTTAATAAATAGTAGAGATCAGGAAAAGGTGGTGCTACGTAAATACCACACAAGCTCCAGTGGCAGCTGACATCTCATCAAGGAATCTTATTGCTCACCAAGATTCACCCGGGGCTTTGACTGATGAAGATGCCATTTGGAATGACCTGCTATCTCCACTACACAAATTATGATGGATTAAGACTGCTGAAAACCATACAGAAGTTTGTAAGCAGCATCACCCATAGGGAAGTGTGGGGCCTGAGATAATTCCCCATTCCATACCCCACATCCTGGCCCTGCCCTACCACTTTCCACCCCTGCTCCACCCCTGCCCGACCCCCACTCCACCCCTTCCCCCAAGCCCTGCCCCTGCTCTGCCCCACCTCTTTCTTCCTCTGCCCCACCCTTTTTCACCCCACTTGCATCCCTTCCTTCAAGCCCTCTCCCCTAAGCAAGCCAGGGGTTACTGGGGGGACTGGCACCAGCAGCAAAAGTGGGGCTGCACCCCCCTTGCTCACCACAGTGGCCAGAAGCAGAGCAACTTGGTCCCAACCCGCTTCGCTTCCCTGAGCAAAGTGACTGCTTCCCACTGCTAGGGTGAAGTAGATCAACCCAGAGGGAGATGGTACAGTGGAGCAGGCTGGAGTTGGGTCATTCCCCTTCCTGCAATTTCCATCACCACTGGTGAATGTGGGGGCAGACCCAGCCCCTGCTGCCAGCCAACACCAGGCTCCTTGCTAATCCCCTATGCCACCTTGTGTCCTGCGCACCCTCCGGAAGTGTGGGGTCCAGGACGACTGCACCAAGCCATCCAATGGACAGGCTGGCTGTTTGCAAGACATGGTTGCACCAGTTACTTCACAAGAAATCATCTAGCCTGTGATTTCTAACAAGGGAGTGGAACTGTCCAAAATTAATGTACGGCATTTGTACTGTAGTCTAACTGTCCCTGAACAACAACAATGTAGTTAGAATATACTACAGCTTTACAAAATATGAGGATGAAGCTTCTAGATTGGAATGCTGATTTAACACAAGTCAACATCGAAAACATAAAGGTGGAGTCATGTAAGTCTTGCAGAATGACCAAAATGAAAATAGGTTAGAAAGCCTCTCATCCTCCAACATGATCTGGGAGTCCTTGGAAGAGTTAAAAGGCGTGTGTGTTGTTTTGGCATTCTAAAAGAAAACAGAGATTGATGACAAGTCTCGACTTGCCAATGCTAAATTCCAAACGCTGAGGATATAGCATATTACTTCCAGACTCCACTGCTCCTGGGTAGAAAGGGCAGTATGGCTCCTCAGTTCATCAGTTTATGGACTAATAGTCCAGAACACCATCAATCCCATAGAAATAAATCTTTTTACTAAGTAGAACAGCAGCTCCCAACTGCCAGGCTGCAGACCAGTGATGGACCACGAATCGCTGGCTGCCGGGCCACGGTGGCTGTCAGAGCTCAAGCTGCCTGAGGAGACACAATGGGGGAATGAAGGGGTGTGAAGGAGGAGGAGTGTGCATGCTGCCAACTGCCACTCCCCCTGCCCGTGCAGCCGCTTTTGCTGCAACTGAAACAGCAGCAGGAGGAGGAAAAGCAGAAGGCACCTCCTTCCCCCCTTGGTAATGGCGGCCAGACGGGGCTCCATGGTCCCCTTCTACCCATGGGAGTGCAAGATGCGCTTGGGGAGGGAGGGACCACAAAGGAGAAGGCCGTTCCTCCTGCCCTTGCAGCAGTAATGGCCATGCTCCCTAGAGGGGGCAGCCTTGCTCTGGGGAGGGTGGGGTGAGGGCAAAGGGGTGTTGGGTGAGGGTGTGGTGGGGTCATGGGGCAAAAGGGTGTTGGCATGGGCTGTAGGAGTGGGAGTCAAAGGGCTGTAGGGATGGGGGTCAAATTTGCATAATGAATATATATGCAAATAAAATGTTACCAGTCCAACCACCAAAAGTTTGTGAATGGGTTTGCTGGTCTGCAGCATTAAAAAAAAAAGTTGGGAATCACTAAATTAGAACGTGCTGTTGGAGGAATGGACAGGATTTGGGTGAGAGGGTGATAATTTGGCATGTAGGCTGTCCTGAGTCAGCCTTGTAGGCATCGCATAAAGAGACATGTGTTTGGCACTACTGGGTTGCATGATACCATATGGCCGAGTAGCTGAAGACAGTCATGCACCATGACTCATGGCATTAAATGCAATTTGAGATCCAAGTCACGGATTATTAAGAATCTGTCTCATGGCAGGGAAGCTATGGAGGCTGTTGAATCAAGCTGTGCTCCAATGAGTTGTATGGATTGTGTTGGTGTGAGCAATGATTTTGTTTTGTTTATTAACAAGCCCAGGGAGTGGAAGCATGCCATGACCAGGTAAGTGCTTCAATGAGAATCCACTTCAGTTTTTGCCTTGATGAGGCAATCATAAGGGTAAGGGTATATCACCATGTCTTGTTTCCTCAGGTGGGCAGTAACTACCATGAGCATCTTGGAGAAAACTCTTGGTGCTGTGGAGAATCCAGAAGGTTGGATGGTATATTGGTAGTGCTGGGTACTTAAGGTGAAGCGGAGAAAACGCCTGTCAGGAGGATTGAATCGTAACATGAAAGTAAGCATCCTGTAAATTGAGGCAGGAGGTGCATACCCTCCCTTGCCTGGGCTGATCTAACCTGCCTCTCCTCCTCCCTCCTTCCCCCCACTTCACTGTTCAAAAAACAAATCTTAAATAGGCATAATTAAAAGCCTCTTTTTTATGTTAATTGTGTTGGGAGTTGTATTTCTCCTATCGTGCTTGCTAAGAGTGAAATCACTGGGAGCTGAAATCATTTGAGACTGATGGGCAGAAGTCACAGTCAAGAGGTGGATGGCAGTGGATGGTGACTAACAGCCAGCAACACAGTGGCAGAGAGATACAATGAGAGACCAGCAGGGCAGTGGTGGCACGACAAGTGGCCAGCCTAATGGAAGTGGAGAAGCATGACAAGTGCCAGCAGGGCAGTGGCAGAAAAGTGTGATAAGCAGCCAGCAGGGCAGTGGTGAAAAGCAGTGAGCAGGTGGTTGATGAGTGACCAGGAAAGTAAGATGCCCCTTTACCTCCTCCAACCCCAATGGGAGGTGAACTCTGCAGATGCACTTCTGAATTCTCAGTCTGTCCTGACCCAGGGCAGCAACTCTGAGTGGGGTGCAGAGAAAGTTTGGGCATGTGAAGGGGTTATTAGGTTCTGAAGACAAGCAATGTGAGAGGAAAAGAACACTGCCCAAACTACTTGAACAGGGACTTTTACTCATAGTGCTTGTTTATGAATCTTGTTTGTGGTATTTTTCCAAATTAATGCCAAGTTACTTCCTTCCCTTTTATTAAAAGTTCCTTTTCTACTCAGGCTCTGTGCTTGCAAGTGGGGAAGCATTGCCTCTCAGAGGTGTCCACGGCTGGTGTGTGAATTTCCTGGGTTACTGAGTAGGGAGACTCAAGCCAGTTCTGTGTTGGGTGAATGGAGAGGAACTCCCTCATACTGAACCCAGCCCTGGCTGCTGCTGGCTCCGCCTGGAAGAACAGAAACATGCCATGTGATTTGGGTGTCAATCAAAAGAGTTTGTATTTCACTATTGATTATTCACAGCAAACAAGTGGCAAGAATTATTTGCAGAAATTGTTCAGTGAATATTTCTGAACAAATAAATATGAGAAAATTGCATTTGTTTAATCTACAAACACAAAGGAGATGTTGATATTTTGAGCTGTGTCTCAGCTTAAGGTGACATACTAGCTGTCACTGAGTTATCACATTAAGAAAAATAGAACGTGGGCTCTGGCTACTTGCCTAGGGTTTTGGATGGGAACATACTGAAAACAGGTAGCCCACCCATGACTGCTGAAGCTACATTCTATTTTTGACATCCTAGTTCAATGACAACTATTGCAGGTATGTATCCTCGAGCTGGAAAAAAATCACATCCACAGCACCAAGCATAGATATATCCAAAGAGGCAACATTTGTAGACTGATTTATTTATTAACAGATTCTAATGGACACAACATACATTAGAAAATATTGCACAATAAAACTATGGTTTTTGCAGTGATTTGCCAAGTTACAATGAAAAGGGTAATGAGAAAATACCAAAAATGTCCATAATTTTTACACTGCTCAATAAGCTTTGCTCTATTTACAAGAATTATTTTGTAACATGATTTGGCATATTTGTTTTAAATGAATGGCAGTATGACAAAAACATCAGTACTGATAGTGTACTGAGCCAGTAAGCTAGAGCTGAATTAAACCATAACCACAACAGCATATACCTTATACTAGTTGGGTGAAATTTTCCCATAGCATGGAGGGCTAATGCAAAGTCCTCTACATTGCTGAATTTCAGCACACAGGCTGGAAGGTGGTTTCGCTGTTCTCTCTGAACTACATAGCACTACACAGGCCAGCATGTAAGGGCACAATATGCATGAATCAGAGATGAACCCAAAATGATTTACATTTACACATATCCAGTTTCCCAGTTCTTTGTGCCACTGACATGTAGAGGCTATAATCATAACATGGAACAGCAAGTATGTGGGGCAGGAGGAGCTTTGCAGCTATCACAAAACAAGAGTTGGCTTGGGGAGTAGTTTAGTTAACCTCAACAACCACTCCACACTGAGGGCACAGAAAGCTCAAATCAATACCCTGGCTTTATGTGGATGGAGTAGATTTCATTCTTTGTTCAAAACTCAGATACTATACATGCAGCACAAGGCCAAATGGTATAAGCTATATACTGAGCATAAAATAAGAAAGGGGGGGGGGGGGAAGCAAAGAAAATTTGTTCAAAACTCAGATACTATACATGCAGCACAAGGCCAAATGGTATAAGCTATATACTGAGCATAAAATAAGAAAGGGGGGGGGGGGGAAACAGAAGACAATATCAAAGGCTTACACTCTATTTCACCATAGTTTTCTTCAAGTTCATCACAGAGAAATGTGTAGACTTTCAACATCCTACGGCAGTTAATGATATCAAGTAGCCACAAACTCACTGAAATGGCTGGGGGAAAAAAGTGAGAGAAAACAAAGAAACTGAAGTTACCTAGTACAGGGAAATGATATGCCCTGGGTTTCCAGGAGCACAAGTTATATGAACAGACAGAAACACATTGGCAACAGGCCAATTATTAACAGAACACACCCCTCAAAAGACTTGGGCTCTGTTTCTAATTTTAAAACCATGAAGTTGAAGTGGATTTGAAATTAGGCAAAATGTGTTCACCCAATCCTGTTCAGAATACCAAAGACAACGGGCAAGCTCCAGCCTAGGGTCAAGAGGCAATGGTGTGTGCAACAAATCATCCCCAATTCCCAACCTGAAGTGGGATGAAGCAGAGTCTACAACACCCTCCCACCAGAACAGCAAGAGGGAACAGCTCGCACTTTGCCTGTTCCTCCGGGAGAGTTGTCAAATGGGAGGGTCTGCTTGCTGTTTCAAAGACTCTCTTTTGTTAGCTATTTTGTTTTTAAAGCTTCAAAAAGATTGCCACTCGACAGGGCAAAGAAGTGGCTTGTGGGATGAGACATCTCCTTTTCCAGAAAAGAAGGATGTCAGAATTTCAACCAATCAAGGAGAAAACACGCCATTATTTGTGTGTTGGATACCTGTATTCTGCCTTCCAACCAAAGACTCTGCCCTTTATCCATGAGACTGAAACACATGGGCTATGCCTACGCTGGCGGCTTCTTGCACAGGAATATCTTGCGCAAGAATATGTCCACACTGGCCATAACCACATAGGAACGCTGAGCTCTTGCCCAAGAAAGCGTCCACACTGGCGGGAAGCCCTTGCACAAGAACGTGTCTCCAGAATAAACTCAGCCATGTCAAGAGGTCACCAGCAGCATCTATGGGCATGCACTGGACCCCCACTGGGAAACATACTTAAAGGGACTCCTAGACAGCCATTTCCCTGTGGCTGCATGCTCACGCACCCTTTTGAGGGAGTGAGAGCCACAATAGCACCTGTCACCTCTGTTCCTGGCAAGTGCCCCTGGGCACCCTCGCGGCCACCGTCACAGCCATAGAGCCGGAGGAGGACCCCAGAGAGCAACATCCGCTCCTCATGGCCATTACAGAGGCTGTGGAGCTCTTCCACCAGGGAGCTACATTGCTTGGAGCCCCTCCCCCAGGGAGCCACATTGCTCCAGCAGGAGCTGGAGACTGGGCAACAGGTGCAGGACCTCGCCACGGCTGCAGCTGGGCTCAGGCACCCGCACCCACCACTGACAGGCACCTCTGGAGCTACGACACCATTGGGGACTGGTGGGAGCGCCTGGTGCTGGACCAATGGGGAGACCAGCAATGGTGCAGAACTTTCGGATGCGCAGGGGGACATTCCATGAGCTCTGCATCTGGCTCACCCCTGCACTCCAGAAGCAGGACACCCACCTGCACCCCGCCAACCCCGTGGAGAAAAGGATTGAAACTGCCCTGGAAACTGGCCACCCCGGACAGCTACCGCTCCGTGGCGAACCAGTTCGGGGTGGGCAGGTCCACCATCAGCATGGTCGTCCGGCAGGTAAGGCCCTCCGTGGACCATGGGCTCATCCTGGGAGAGGGAAGGGGCCAGACCGGGCGGGGGAAGGCTGTAGGGGCAGAGGGAAGCCCCACACACAGGGGGTCACGCTGTCCCTCCTGCACACAGCCCTGCTGGTGGTGGTGGTGGGGAAATCCCGGGGGGCAGATGGCCCTGGCCTGCATGGGAGGAGGGCCCATCAAAGGAGGGTGAGCACATTCCAGGGGCCCTTGTACGCACTGTGTCTCATTCCATGCATCCCCTGTGCTCCCATGTGCCCCTCTGCAGGTCGTCCACACCATCAATGACGTGCTGCTCCAGATGGTGATCCGCTCTCGTGACGTAGACACCACCATTGCTGGCTTTGCCAGCCTCAGGTTCCCGAACTGTGGGGGAGCCGTAGACGGGACCCACATCCCCAGCCAGGCGCCAGAGCACCGAGCAGCCCGGTTCATAGACCAGAAGGGCTACTGCTCAGTGGTGCTCCAGGCACTAGTGGACAACCAGGGCCGGTCCCAGGATATTTATGTGGGGTGGTCCGGTCGGGCCCACAATGCTCGCATCTTCAGGCACTCAGGCCTGTGCCACAGGCTGGAGGTGGGCACCTACTTCCCACAGTGGGAATTCACCATTGGGGATGTCAGGATGCCAGTCTGAATCTTGGGGGATGCGGCCTAACCCCTAATGACCTGGCTGATGTGGCCATACACCGGCCACCTGGACCACAGCCAGGCCACCTTCAACAACCACCTGGACCGGGCTTGCAATCCCATCGAGTGCGCCTTTGGGTGTCTGAAGGCATGGTTTAGGTGCCTCCTGACCCGCCTGAACATGGGGATGCAGCACATCCCGGAGGTCATCTTGGCATGCTGCATGCTCCATAATATTATTGAAGGGATGGGGGAGGCCTTCCTCCCAGGGTGGATGGCAGGTGAGGGCCAGGCCTACCAGCAGCCCCAAATGGCCACCATCCGGCAGACCAACCGCCATAGGGTTCGGGTCCGGGAAGCCCTCCGGGTGATGCTGGACCAGGCCCCACAATAGGCTGCCCTACACCTCTGACCGCAGGGATGCCCCCATGCCTCCACTTCCCACTCCCATCACCACCCCTTCTCACCACCCTTCCCTCACCTCCCAATAAATAAAATGCACTTGCTGTAGATAAGGCACTTTTTTATTTACATGGGGAAAGGAGTGCACTGTGGGGAGGAGGAAGGAGGGGACCCTGAACTGGGAGGGCCTCATGGTTCTGAATGGAGGCCTCTCCCACCCCCATGGGTGCAGGGGCGCCTCTGCCCCTCGTGCCGGGTTGGGGCAGGCTGCACCAGGAGGTGCCAAGGGTGGGGGACTTTGGGAGGGGGCCTGGGCAAGGCAGGGAGAGAAGCGGGTGGAGAGCTGGGAGTGGCAGAGGGGGGCCTGGTAGCACTGGGCTGCTGCACAGGGCCCATCCAGTCAGCAATGGTGCCCAGGAGAGTGCAGACACGGTCGCAGCGCTCCAGTACTGGCCCCACACCTGTTCCTGCCACTCCGCATCTGCATGGATCTTCTCGGTCAGAGCACGCTCCATGCACTCAATCGCCCAGATGTGGCGGCGGAGCAGGTGGTGGCGGTCCCGGGAGTGCTGCGACGGACCTTGGATCCTTTGTGCTGGCGAGATGGGACTGGAAGGTCCCTCGCTGCCAGGGGGTCCCACAGCAGGAGAAGCAGAGGAGAGCAACATGATCAGTGAGCCCTGCCCCAAATCATGTCCCAGAGCCCTGTGCCCTCCTCCCAGCACGTCACAATGCCCGGGGACAGGTGTGGCTGATGAGGGGGAATTCCCATGGGGCAGCGGGAGGGGAATCCCAAAGTGGCCCAGGAGCCCCCAGGGGGGCCACATGTGCTGGGGGGGGCCTGGTGTGCTTTCCCCAGGGGAAACTATAGTGTCCCAGAGGTGGCCATGGATGTGTGCTGTGTACAGCACCCTTTAGGCTATGTGGGGTTAGGCCTGCAACCTTGGGGCTGGCCTACTTCTGGCCAAACCTCTCCCCCCCATCCTTTCCCCGGTCTGGTTGAGCAGAATTTCTGGGGTCCCAGGCGTTTGCTGGGGCTAGCTGCTGCTTCTCTGTGCCACTTGGTTTGGCTGCACATAGGGTTGCCAGATGGTTTCAACAAAAATACCGGACACACTTGACATTACATGACAGTCTACATTACATCTTAATTTAAAAATACCAGACATGTATATTTTCTCATTTTTATCCTCTCAATTTGTTTCCCGAACAGAAAGCTTAAAGACTGGACTGTCCGGTTCAAAACTGGACACCTGGCAACCCTAGCTGCACGAGGTTGCACGTGCTGCATGCCTCTGCGCAGCATGTGGTCAGGCTGAGCAATGTGCCGCTACCTCTCCCCAACCCTGTGGCCCTCCTCTCCCCCCCACCCTCCTTCTCCAGCATACTTGCGAATGGTAGCCACTGCACTCACCAGACAATCTCTCGCCAGCTTCTGAGGATGCCCGGGACACATCCTGACTGGTGCTGGGCCGGGATGGTGAGGTCTGGCTGCTGTCCTCTGCCACCTCCTCCTCTTCCTCCTCTTCCTCCGGTGGCCTGAGTCAGACCACTGGGGTGGCCACTGCCATGTCCACCTGGGCCAGCAGGGGACTGGCCCCTTTGTCCCCCAAGATCTTGTGCAGGCGGTGATAATGGGAACAGGCAGTGGCTCTGCCACCCGCATGCTCGCTGGCCCGCACGTACGTAGGTGAGGCACAGGTCCTTCATCGTGGCCCAGACCTGTTCCAGGGTCCGGGCCGGGTGTCCCTGTGCAGCCAGCACCTGGGCCATCTGGGCCAAGACGTGCGCATTCCTCCTCTGGGACTTGGGGTCCCGGAGGGCCTCCTCCTTTCCCCAGAGTTCCAGGAGGGCAGTCACCTCAGCGGTGCTCCAGCATGGAGCCCGCCACTTGGTGCCCCTTTGGGCCTGCTGGGTGCTCTGGGGTGGCTCCTCCGTGGGGTCTGAGGGACCTGGCTGAGGCTGGACAGCTGCCATTCCTCCCTCTGGCTGCTACCTAGGCTGCACGTGGCAAATGGCTGTGCTCCGTGCCTGTGCCTTTAAGGGGGGGCCAATTAGGGAGAACCAACGAGTGGTGATTGCCTGTACAGAGTGTCGGAGATGCCACCTATGTTTTTCACTGGAGGCCAATTCTTGTACAAGTACGCGCAAGAGCACCTGCGCAAGAGGGCTTACACCTGTTAAAAAAAGAGTGTAGCTCTTGTGCAAGAAGCCCTCTCTTACCACGCCGTACTGTAAATTTCCTTGCACAAGAGCAGGCAGGCAGTGTGGATGCTCTGCGGATTCTTGCACAAGAACGGACGTATTTGCGCAAGAAGCCGCGAGTATAGACATAGCCACATTGTCCTCAGAGAAGACTATTAATACCACTGCATGAACTCACTGCATGAAAAAAGAAGATACTAGAAAAAGGCATTATCAAGCCTTGC